ATCATCCCGGTCCCTCGCCAGGCGCTGGGTCCTCGTCTTCACTTCAAGCAAGGATGGACAATGGGGAGAGACCCATGGCGGGAAGGCGAGATTCCGATGACGCCAGGAAACGAAAACCTCGACGAGGACGTGGCGGTCTCGGTGGAGGAAAGAACCGCGACACTCAGGGTTAAGACGCTCATTCGTTCGGAGCCACCGGCCTCGTATGGCCATGTCATATGCCCAATTCCCTTTCGATCCCTTCTACTCTTCCTACGTACTTTCGCAAAACATGATCACAAGCCGAATCGAATTATCATTCCGTCTTGTTGGCTCAACATTCACCGGAGCTTGATCCGCCGCCTGGAAACACCTCGGACTCGGAACGATTGCACTGCCCCCGTCCCGGTCATAACCACCAACTTGCTATTCATTTCGCGGATCGTTCGCGTCAGAGCATTTACTGGGGCGAAATACAAGACACCCAACGTAGACCTGAGGCTTTCGGCGGCCAGCCGTCCAAGACACAACTCTCCTGCAAGCCCTGCCACTCCATCGTCATAAATCATCCGCTGTGAACTCATTCCTGAGATTGACATGAAGGGCCGCGTCTCGTCCATCCAGAAAGATTAATTCTAAGGACTCGCCAAATCTACGACGACCGTCAATGCGACCTGAAAAGCCAAGATAGCGTCTTTCGACCGACCTCAAAACGGTAGAGATTACTGGTATCTCTGAGATTCTTCTCTCCGGCATCGTCAACCAATGCACAATCATCGAATGCACTAGAAGAGCATACAGGTGTTATCGAATACGAACGAGCATATATGTGCCACTGACTGGTGGGTGTCTCCTTTGGCGTCCTAACCTTTCTTAGATAGTCAATGGCCCCTTGTGCAATCCACTGATGACCATTGGCTAATGGATAAGTCTGAGGGGCGTCCTAAAAAGATTTGACGTCAAGTTTCAGACATAAATAATAACTGACAGCCACGTGGCAAGCAGGCCTAGCTAGCTCAATCGGTAGAGCGTGAGACTCTTACCATTGCGGGGTTCGAACCGGCGATTGGAAAAATCTCAAGGCTGCGGGTTCGACCCCCGCGTTGGGCTAATGGATAAATCTTTTGACTATTTCAACCTTTTGACATCAATTTTTAAGGACGTTGATTACAGGAACGCGGTTTCCTAGGGTTTTTGTCAAGCCCATAGAAAAATCTATTAACAGCGCGTTCGACCCTTGCGATGGGATTCAGTTTCCCTCTTTTCTGCTTCATTGAAGCCTTAAAATGGTTTGCAACGAGTAGAGTCTATAAGTCTATCTGATCGAGCAAGGAATTCCAAGAGTTGCATTGCCCTTTTGCTATGCTTAGGCAGTAGATGGATTCTCATCCTAACAACCTAACCTCAGGGCTGTGCCAACCCACGTTACCCTCCTAAATATAAATCATGGGAGGATCACAATCGAGAAGTCGAGCTGAGTACGAAGCGCTGTGCCGGGACATTGCTCATTTACACATCGTTAAATACAATTGACAGTATCACGGGCCAGTGCGAGAGAAGAGGCCCAGAGCTGCAGTGCCGCGTTCCGGACGACTGCAAAAAGCGTGCCGGGGTGAGGGCAAGGGCCTGTCGATATCACACTTCCGAATATGGCCTAAGACATACGTTACGGTAAGACCCGGGAAACGTTGAGCACGCATCAGACAAACATTCAAGAGTGAATTCGCTTGCATAATGAGTACATATTCATTAGAGATGTCTGCATCATGCGTGTCGCCCATCGCCCATCAGTGACCCATGGGATGTAGTGACATACTAGCAGCCTGCAAGCTACTGGAAGCCCCAAAACGTTCCGGATTCAGTTATGTGGATACAATCGCTCAGTTGAAGAAGCTCACGCGTTATCACCCATACGGGCTGGAAGGTCGTTCTGATGGCCGTAATACTCGGGCCTTAGCTTTCCGACGAGGTGAGCGCAAGACCCTCCAGAGCTTCGGGGTTGCGGCCTGAACGTCCACAAACGACCCATTGGATCCACAAGACTTTGAAGAAGAGGACATGCGGCCTTGAACTGATCAATGGTCTGTGCCTCCACGTCGAATATTCCCGGTTTCGAGGCATACAGCGTCTCGTATCCCACTTCAACACTACGAAGCGCGGGACAGAGGTAAACGTGATTGGCGACCTAGAACGGTACGGTGTCAGTAGAGGCGCGCTTCCACCAACTAAGCCACGGATAGTACCAGGCCTCACCTTAGCAAAGTAATACTGGGCGGAGGGCATCTTTTTGACGGTAGTCATAGAGTTGATCGTGATGGACAAGAATTCCGAGTTCGGAAACAGTCCAAGGGCCTTGTCAAGATTGGTCCAGAACCACCATCTTTCATCGCCGTGGTACCACACGCGGATAGAGAATGACCGGATGGAGAGCTTGATGGACTTCGATGCAGCTTCCAGTGCCGAGAACACGTCCTTGTCCCAGTCACCGATCGTGAGGCTAGTCTCTCCAGTCGAGGCGCAACCGAAAGAAAGGTTGGAGCCTCAGTGGGAGCAGCCTCCAGGAACCTTAGATTGGGGATGTCCGATTCCTTGAGATTTGTTCGCAGGCTATCTACCGTTTCCCATGCAAGATCACCCGTCGGAAGAGCGAGCTCTTCCAAGCAAGGCTGAGACTGGAGGACTTTGCGGAGCTCTTGTCCCAGGTCTCCATCCCAGTCCTCCTCCTCCTCCTCCCCGTCGGATTCCGAGGCTAGCCATCCGAAACACACCTCCTCATCATCACTTGTCTTTGGGTCCCATAACAAGGGGATCTCCAAGCGTGTGAGCTTCATCCTAAGGATGGCGTCCCGAAACGCACTCATCTCCGGATCCCAAATCCAACGGGCGACTCCACAAGGGGCAAAAGACTTGAGATTCCTGGCCAAGGAGAGGGCATGCAGCGGGTTCGGATGAAGCGCTGACGGGGTTCGAGTGTCTTGGTACTTCCAAATCCAGCTTAGATTGATGGAGAGGTGTCGAACGAGTAAAGCTAGGTCCGGTCGAGCGAGGAATGTTTCGAGAAGTCGTACGGACCGTTCGCTGTGCCTCGGTATCAGAATGCTTTCGTACAAGCCTTGCTCGCAGAGAGGACGAAGAGCTCGATTGATTATAAGATTTCGTATACCGCTCGGAGTGAGGTAGAACACGATTCGGAGCTGCAGCTCCGCCGGTAGCTCATCGAGATTACTCTTGCGCATCTTCGCGTCGTTTAAGGCAGGCCGTTAATGCGGAAAGGTGCAGTTAGTCCCAAAGCACAATGTCGTCAAGTATAGGGCTTACAGGGACTCAGCTGACCGGGGGGTGTATCGAGGCGAGGAGCTTCAGTGATTGAGGCTTATATGTCTCGGAATCGAGGGGCCCGGGGATCAACGGGGACTCTTGAATTTGCACCCTAACAGCCGGACCTCAAGGCGGTGCTACCCCACGTGGCAGCATATGGGTACGTGGATGCTGTGCCCTCCTAAAGACAATTGCCGAGAGGATCACGCTCGAGAAGTTGAGCCTGGTGTGGACCGGTATGTAGGGGAATTCTTCGTGGCAGAGATATTGTTGGACATATTAACATTAGTAGTCAGTGAGAGAGAGGCGGCGCAGTTGAGCACTGAATGCATACCATACTCTAGGCAATTGCGAAGAAGCGGGTTATTGGGAGGGAACGGAACCGACGACACAGTATCATGCGTCCGACTGACGCTTCAGACATGCGTTGCAGTAAGCTTCGCTTCTTCAGAGTCATGGAGACCGATCTTGTTAGACTGGGGTCTGGAGAGCGTGTAATTTAGTAGTAATAGACTCACCGTTCTCGCTATATCGAGCCTTTCGAAGTATATTTATCTTATGTTGGTTGTGGACGGGCGTCCGCTAAGCGCCGAGAAATGTAAATCAAACGAGGAAATTGGGATACTCGATTTGATGCAGTATTTTTTCCCCAAAATGAGATTACTTCCTATCTCATCGTCGGGAATCTCAAACGTTCCTTGGCAGATGCCCATGGCCAGAGTTTCTGGTTCGACAGTGGTCCCAGATAGAATAAATTAGACTGAACATTACAGAAAGGCCCAAAGTAACGTCTAGATAATTAATGCGAGGA